CCATCGGTACCAAACATGGGGGGGTTGAAAGTACATCAACATAATTTTTCATATCCTTACAATATTTATGCTTTACAAAGGCCTAAATGGAACATGCATACAGGTTATAAGAGATGTTACACAGGTAAGAAAAGTCAGAAATGAGATACAAAGTTTACAAAACATAACACTTTGGTTTTGTGCTGGTTCTGGATTTGATGAGTTCATTTTCTTTCTTATCTTATCTGTCATGTTCTTTTGAAGTAGGCAGAGAGTGGTTCTGTGAAGTCTCCCAGACTTGTTAACATGTCACCACGGATTACTAAGCCAGACTTTTCGTCGCCAAGTGATTTTATTGTCCTGGCGATTCACCCAGATTGTTTTCTGGAATGTTAAATGGAATGTTTATCTCCAGAATGCAGGTTACAATATGTTACACAATCACAGAACTGGAGAAAGTGCAGTACTTCGTTTATTTCAATTTAGCATATTAATAATGAAATCCAAAAATCATAGTATTATATTGAGAGTTTATTTTTAAGATTTCTTATCTCGTGACCCACCTTTAGTGTGCTGTGCTGGCTTCCCCCTGGTGGAAATTGAAAACCCCTGTTTTAAAATGCCAACATTTTTGCTACATTTACAAAGCACATTACTCTTGCACTCTTTGCCAGGTGTGTTCTATTGAATCATTAGAAATGTCTTGTTTGGTAAAGATTGTTTGGTTTGAGAAATATGAAAGTGTTTTGGTTGCCAAACATTCAGTGCATCACTGAGTTTTTTTTTTTACTTTTTGTGGCCAAGGAACACTTGGTCAAGCTAAATAACCATGGTCAAGCATAGACAATTTGTGCTCCTAGAATTTTGCATTTTCCTACATCATACTTAAAAATAATGTCTTGTAAGGGTGTCAAAATTAATTGATTCTTCGGTGCACTGCGATACAGACGGACAGTTTGGTATCTGTTCAGCAATAGATCATAACCGATTATTATGTATTCACGTCATTTATCAAATATGCACTATGTTGCGGTACAATACTTTGGTCAAGAGAGGTCAGTTGGAGAAATTAAAACGCAGAAACTGCACAATTTACTGCATGCGTTTGCTGGGCAGTCATTCACTGACACTGAAGTTACAGCAGATGCCCCTATAACACTGCTGTGGAGAAAATTAAAGTAAACTCAATTTTTCTCTCTCTCTCTCTCTCACTGTGAACCTTTGACCTGCTGGCATGACGTTTCCTCTCCTCCGCAAGTAAGAATTCAGAAGAATTAGTTGATGAGAGAGGAAGGACTAATACAGTGGTTTGGAAGTGGTTCAGCTTTTTAAGTTCCCATAAACTTATAGTTTCGGTGCTCTGCAAATTATGTGGGGGAGTGATGCAGACTAGCATTGGGGACACATCAAATCTGTTCCACCCGATAGAACAGTGGTCGGGAACCTATGGCAAAACCCACTATGCAGCTTTTGCTGCAAAGTACAAGCTGAATGAAAACTGAAAGAAGGTGTGCTAGGAGCTCCAGCATAAACTGCAAACCTTTCACAAATTTCAAATAAGTTGTGTATGCTATGTACGGCAAATAAACTGTTCACAGCAGTGCTGGATCTTGCTCTGGGAAATATCAAATATTCGTGTTTTGCGTAACTTGTGCGTGGTGAATACCTGCGTGTTTGTTTATGTGAGAGAGAGACTGTGAATGAGTCCGAGTGAAAAACAGCTAGCAAAGCTGTGTGAAGTGTTGCCAGAAGTTGCTGACTGATTCCAGCCCAAAAACAACCACTCAATCAAAACTGCCCAAATGGGCGGGAAACTGCCCAATCTGGCAGCAATGGTGGAGTGCATTGTGTACGTGCGCACACACAAATGTATTCACTTTTGTCTTATCAGCTTTCTTACGTTTCCAATCACTTTCATTGATTGGTGATTATTGTTTCAGGCGCAGTGAGCTGCAAAAATAAATAAAGACATAATGGACTACTAAATAACGTTTGTATTTTCAAATATGCCAGAGGCAGTCAAGCTTACATACACATTTTTTTAAACCAGAGTAAATCGGATAATGAGCCTGATCAAGAGAAGATGAAACTGCGCCCTCTGTGTAGGATTTAAATCAAACTTCGCTTATCAACACGTGCATATACACCTATAAATTACTTTCATATAAACCTATACTATGTTCAAACATGTATGAAACTTGCGCATATACATATAAAGTTGATGCATACATACTCCCACATATATATATAAACTTGATTCTTGCAAGTGTGTTATTTAAAATAATATGAAATATTAGTCTATATAAATAGACTATGTAAAATATATAAGAATGATTTTATGTTAGACCTTTTAATTTGATTAGGTAATTACATACACAAATATAAATAGACAGATATATCACTTAAAGGACGTTCAAGATGAAAAGCAACCACAACTATGAATATACTCATTTGTTCGTGAAGGCTAAATACAAATAAAAATTTAACATTATTTTTTTGTACATTTTAATGTTTTTAAAAAAAGTTATAAGAGCCTACAGTTGTTATAGACTTTGCAAAAAAAAACAAAAAAAAAAAACATATAGTAACCAAGTAACCATTAATATAAGCCTGAATAATTAGACATATAAATGTTGATTTCAATAGTTTATTAATCATTTATTAACTCATTCCGAATGAATGAATTCCTAAAAACCCTTAACTACTCTTATATACTAACAGTTTGTAAATAATTTGATACTTAATTTAGTAATGAAAAATAAATCATTAACAGAGTATGAAAATACAATTATTAACCACATTATATAGGTGCTTATAAGTCAAGAATAGAGCATTTGTAGCTGCAGTTATAAACTGCTTACTAACACTTATTAATGTAGATTTAATGCTTAACAGATAACGAGTTCACTATTTGCTAATGCTTAATAAATTATTTAAAGTGTGTAGTTATTATAAAGTGTTACCATAACATCTTAGAAATAGCCTTCATTAGTGGGGTTCCCACATATTTTGTGCTGAAAACATACTTCAACAATTATGTTCCCCATCAGGTCGGGAACTGCAATGCTGTGTTGGACAACACTTTGGGGTATTGCTAGATAACCAATCACTCTTAAAAAAAATAAAAATAAGAAGAAAATGGGCCAAAAAAATGCCTATGTGTAGGTCGTACACAGCTGTATAAAGCCACCCGTTGCTGAGAGCAGGGCAGACTTTTGCTTCAGAAGCCTAACGCGACCGAATAGATATTGTTTGCTGAGCTGAATCCAGAGATATCAAGCTTCATGTATCCAGTGCGAGTGATGACACAGACAGTGGCAGTGATTCTTCTGTCCCTGTCTTATAAAAGACAGATTTACCCTTAGAGAGCAACATGCCCGGCCATGCTGCTTCTGCCCTGCACCATGGATTTAGACCACAAGACCACTGGCCCTGATGCATGAGGACAGTTCTCCAGACTTGATGCACGAGTTCTGCACGATAGCTGACTATGCTCTTATGAATGACGTCTGCCTTCCATACCTGGGGAAGATGGTGGCCACATAGTGTTCCAGAAATGCTGCTCTTGGCTTAATCTGGTAGATATGCTCCACGTCGACAAAGCCCGATTTCTTGGTATGGCCAAATTACAGGAAGGCCTATTCTGCAACATTGTTGGGGACTTTACCCAGAAGTCCTTAGCAGTAAAAAAACAGCCGAGCGCAACGGGGCAGGTCATCTTTCTGGGGGGGACAGAAAACTGCTGAATGGAAAATGGAGCCTCCACCCCGGTGTGGTCCAGCTGTTATGAACGTGCTTTAGAGAAGCTCAGGTCATCCTGTTTGCTTCTCGAATGCCAGTTCATTGACATGTGCTTTATTTTCGTACCAGGAATTTAGGCCACTATACTTTTGGCTATGACAGGAGGCTCTGTTATATACCCAAGATATCTACCACACACTTTTCAGACCAGGTAGTGTACCTGCAAGCACTGCCTGTGGAGGAGGCAGGGCAAGCCCCAATTAATTTCTGTGTCCTGTTGTGATCCATATTCAGGTAAGTAAGGGCCTGGAGTTTTAAGGCCATGACAAGGTCCAGCTGCTTTGGTGCTTTCCATACACTCCCCCATGTAGCATTGAAGTTCCTGACCTGATTGGGTAATGTCCAGGTTACGCAATTTTAAGTTTCAAAAATTGTGAGGCACCACACTGCCGTTATGATGCACTTTTTATGTTGCTAGGCAATGACTGAATTAGCTGTGTATTGTGCGAGTGTTGCTGTTGAAATTGGTTTAATTTTAATATTTAAGCATTTTGTGAAATTCAAGATTTGTAAAGTCATACAGCTCCGGATAACTTAAAGCAGAGCATTGCTTCCATTTAATTGTAGAATGAAACAGATGCGACTGACAAAATGCACTTTTTCTTTTAAAGGTGGCTTTTTTTTTCAACTGCTAGAGTATAGCACGCAAGGACAAAAATGCGAGGCGCAGCAGGCGGTTAAAATGGCCCACAGGGCACGCAAGCAGCACACAAAAGCTTGTGGCCGTTAGTAAATCATTTAAAAAAGGCGCCTCAATTCAAAAAGTGTGATCGGCCCCTTAAATCTCATTTTTTCAGCTTATTGATGCACTCAATAACAACAGTTTTACTTTGTTAATAACACTTGCATGATCATTTAAGAAAAAAACATTTTATTTAAGAATAGTTTTTAAAATGTTTTGCGCTTTAAAAAGTGAGTGTCATTACATTTCAAATAAAAGATGCAATGCCTGATCTGGTTTTATTTTCTTATTGTGCTTGCTTGCGGGCATAAGCGACAATAAAGATTTTTTTCCCCTAAAACTAAGTATTGCCTTTAAAATTTGAATATAATTAAGAGTTGTGCTTATATTTAAAAAATGATTTTTAAGCCATATTGACAGCCACTGTCTGATTTCTTTCAGTTGTTATAATAATAATATTTTATTTTTTTAAATAATGCTCTATTCAGTAAGGAGGTAATTTTTTCTTCTAAATGTGTCCTGTCATCTGCCCTTTTAGCTCCACCACCTCTTCCTCCAAAGAACATTCCTGGTACTCCACCTGGACGAAGTTCCAGCTCAGTTGAATCCTCTGGTATGTACTGACAGTTTCAGTTAAATGCATAGTTTAAATTTTTTGAAAGAATTTAGTTATTATTTAAAATTGTCTACCACATTAACATCTAACTTTTTGTTCTGTTTCCAATTTTATCTTGTTTATGTTTGTTTTAGGACACTGTGAAACATTTTTTTATTTTCGATTTCTATTTGTTTTTTAAGTTTAAATAAGTTTTTTTTAATAATAAAAAGTTAAGACAATATTTCACTAAGTGTGTTTTTTGTGCTAGTGGCTATACTGGTTTTGGCCTGTCGTGGACCACCAGTAGGTAACGGCAAGTCACTTATTAAATAAGTAATTCAGTTATTTATTCAACTGATTTGTTCAAGTGGCTGATTCATTAAGGTACAAAGTGTATCCACTGCTTATTTAAAAACAGATTCTTTCAGAAATTCAACATCACTGTGTATTGCTCACAAATGCAGAATGGCTTTGTTTGGAACTCTTGGCTTTGTTTTATAAATGAAGCAAATAGAGACAATAATTCATTTAAACAATAACTTACTTTATTTACTTATTTTACAGTATTTTTATTAAATGTATTAATTATTGGCGTTAACAGCACACTTTTATGTGTAATATTACTCAAAAACATTTGCAAATTCATCTAAGGCAAATAAAAAAGAGATTGTGATAATGGAAAATGGAAGTGTTTTTGACAAATTGTTGTCATTCTTCTCAACCAGGTTATTATAGTGTGGTTCCTAGTGTCAAAGGAGGTGGGTCATCTTCAGTCTATCAGGAGGCTGCATTTTCTGACCCAGTTGGAGGGGTGTGTATGCCTGATTTGGACAGTGTTTTTGGACCTGTTGAAACATCCAAATCTGGATCAGACATGGTCCAGTGCAGCTGGGTGAACTTTGGTGAAGGATCTCCTGCCAGACCTCCACCCCCAAATGAACCTGCCCCTTCCCCACCACTGTCCTCATCCCCAACAGACTCGCCTCCGGACTCACCCATAACCTCACCCCTCAACCTGCCACTTCCCACCTCACCCCCTCCACTGTTTCACTCTATCCCACCACCAGATTCACCTCCACCACCACCACCCTCAGACTCTCCTCTTAGTCCCTTGGACCTTCCCTGCTGCTTTCAGATCCCAGAATCAGAGTTCGTCCAAGAGTCGCCTGTCACCCCTGCAAGTCCTGGAATGCCCTTTCCTCCAATGGACCATTACCCTCAGCATGGAGCCATTCCCTCTGTTCTAGCAATGACAGAGGACAGAAGAAGAACTCCTGACCTGGCAAGTGTGAGAGATGAGTTTTCTGTGTTTGGCACATCACCCAAAGACCTTGCAACAGGAACTTTCAGGGGAACCCCACCTCCACTGCCTCCTCCTACCTACAGAAGTGTGATGGGCTCCCCAGGACCCGGCAGTGGTGAGTTTGTAGTTATTTGTTAGTAAACACTGAATAAAGCATAAAAACCTGTCCACATTCAAATAATGAAAAAAACTGACAAATGTTCTGTTCTATTTCAATTTAGTGGTTCATAAAGATGAATAGTTTGAAAGTTTCATTATGCTAGGGGATACCTTTGTCAAATTCAGTTGCTTTTGAAAAAAAATGTTTTTTGTATGTTTAAACATGATTTTAAGGTATGAATGCTCTCTTATTGGCTAATATGTTTAGATTATATAATTTGCTTTGTATAGAACAGGGGTCACCAACCAGAGCTACCTTCCTGCACATTTCAGTTGCAACCCTGACCAAACACACCTGTTTGTAATTATCAAGTGCTGCTTTAGGTACTATTAGTTGGTTCAGGTGTGTTTGATCAGGGTTGGGACTGAATTCTGCAGGAAGGTAGCTCTCCAGGAACAGGGTTAGTGACCCCTGGTATAGAATATCTAAGTTCAACTTTATCTGATTTAACCAAAGAATGGACCACAAGATGTTCAGTGAACTCTTAATTGACCCACAGATCAGGGTGACTCCTTATTTAATGCGCTTCAATTTTACCCTTTTACAAGATGTAAGATAAGTCTTTGGTGTCACCAGAATATGTCTGTAAAGTTTCAGCTCAAAATACTTATCAGTTCATTAATTATACCCTCCAGAATATGCTAATTTTAGACTCTGTGCCTATTAAAGGACAGTGTACCTGTTTTTGTTGCTTGTGCTTTTGATGCAAATGAGCTGGTTTTGCCCACCCACCGTTCCCATGTGTGTGTCAGCTTTTACTGTGTCACATCATAAGCAGCAGTGATGAGACAGACCCAGATGAAGCAGATTCAGAATACAGTTTATGGATTATGGTTGGGCTGCAATAACAAATCGATAAAAGCAATTACTAAAAGCGTTAGCCACAAATTTCATAATCGATGTGTCGTGTCGTGCGACTTGTAGATAGATGTTTATTATTATGTTTATTATGTTTATGATAGATGTTTGATTATTAAAAAAACTTTGGTTGAGCGAGCACTAATGCCAGCAGAGTTCGGCGCCTCATAGACAGGACCAAGCAAAAAAACGAGCAGAGGTAACGTTAGAGGTAATATACATAGTGAAGGCAGAGAAATTTGTGTGACCCTATTCATCCAAGGTGTGGGAGCATTTCATTCATTCATTCATTTTCTTTTCGACTTAGTCCCTTTATTAACCTGGGGTTGCCACAGCGTAATGAACCGCCAACTTATCCAGCATATCGTCACCTTAGAATTATAAGGTTCTATCTGACATTTTTGTCAAAATTGAGTTATTGACATATTCTTAATAAATGAAAACTTATTTACATTATATGATGTTATTTTTTTTTTTTACATGTTTTTTACGTTCTAAGATTTTTATTTAACAAACAAAAAAGTTTTTTATACAAAGTCGAACTTGGTTTTTTAAGGTACTTTCTGTGCGCCAATCAGCATTTTTAATGCACACTTGAGGACCAATCAGGATCAGCTTTCTTTGTCATTTCACCGGACTGCTCCATTGACAGCGGGAAACACCAGAAAGACAAAATCACACAAAATAAGAGTTGGCTAAATAATGCTGCACAACACAAAATTGAGATGTGTGTCTCGTTTATCACATGATTTAGACGCATTTCTTGCCATTGAAATTCATTCATTTTCTTTTCGGCTTAGTCCCTTTATTAATCTGGGATCTGCCCTTCCAGCTGCAATCCATCACTGGGAAAATCCCTTACACACTCAACCACGCACATATACTATGGCCAATTTTACCTTACCCAATTCACCTGTACCGCATGTCTTTGGGCTTGTGGGGGAAGCCGGAGCACCCGGAGGAAACCCACGTTAAAACGGGTAGAACATGCAAACTCCACACAGAAATGCCAACTGCCCCAGCCGAGGCTTGAACCACCGACCTTCTTGCTGTGAGGCGATTGTGCTACCCATTGCACCACTGCGTCGCCGACATTGAGATGAAATGTTAAATTTTACATTGTTGAAAAAGAAATGAATATTTAAAAATGTATATATTAAATGTGAAATATATTTATTTGTTTACATATAGTCAGTGAAACACTTTTCAGCATTTATTAAACTCATTTGGTCATCATCTGTTTCTTTAAAAGTCTTTAAATTTAATATTAAGCCTTGAAGGGCAAATACTTAATTTATTTCAATGGGCATATAATTCAATAAATATAATTCAATAATTCATATAAAGCGTAAAATATAATAAATATAAGGTTATTAATTAGATAAAGTTAACATCTGCACTGGACAAAAATATTTAGCAGAGCCTTCTATTAATTTGTCCAAAACATGAAATAAATGTTATAGAAAGAAAAAAATTTACTTTCTCAAGAATCAACATATTGTTACAATATCAATATATATGTTTTTTGATTGGATTTCTTAAAAAGTAATGCTTCAATGAATGATCTGTCAGATAGAACCTTATAATTCCAAGTGGAAAATTACTTTTCGGAATGAGAAGATTTAATCTGCGTTTACAGTGTTTTTTTTTTAACTCCAGATTGCAAATGTAAGAGAACTTCGATAATTTACATTTAGAGAACCCTTAGGGTCTCTGTCATGGTAATGTATAAAAGAGAACTGTTACACACATATTGTGTGCTATATGGAATGCAAAAACTGTAAAGCTCAATGTCTCAAAATTTTACACAGCGGATGCCCTTCCAGCTGCAACCCATCACCGGGATACATCCACACACACATTCACACACACACTACGGACAATTTAGCCTACCCAATTTACCTATACCACATGTCTTTGGACTTGTGGGGGAAACCAGAGCACCCGGAAGAAACCCACGCAAACATGGGGAGAACATACAAACTCCACACAGAAACGCCAACTGACCCAGCTGAGGCTCGAACCAGCAAACTTTTTTGCTGTGAGGAGAACGTGCTACCCACTGTGCAGCCTGTGGGAGCATTTCACACTAAATAAACAAAAAAGTGTTTTAACGGGAGCACTACGGCAATGATTTAGCACCTGAAATGCAAACATGTTGGAGTCTTTGATGAATTAATCGATTATTAAAGTAATTGTTAGTTGCAGCCCCAGAATATGGATTCAGTTTATGCATATAACAAGTTAGTTTATTTAATATATTTGTCCTTTCCTTTTTTTTTTTTTTAAGTGTTGACTTCATATCAGGAGGCAAGTAATTTTGTGACTGCTCTCTGAAAAATGGTTCCCGCAGGTCCTTAAAAAGTCTTAAAATGTCTTAATTTAAATCCGGTAAATTAATGTCTTAAATTGTCTTAAATTTACCATAAAGTGGCTGTAGTTATTACATTTTCAGCCGGTGTGCTTGATGATGACAGGGAAGCACAGTGGTCCACCGTAAAACATCTAATAGTTGATCAATTCAGTATGTGTGAAACAGGAGAGAAATGACAGTCTCTGTGATTTATTAGCTTATTATCGGCTACAGACGCTTACGTCGGTCTGCACCTGCGTGCTGTCATTACGTGGTTGTCGAGGTGAGGTTCAAAATACAAAGATGTGAAAGGGTAAATTTAATGACATGGCAATGAGGCAATGTGTAAATTTTGCAAAAATACCTTTTCGTTGGGGACCATGGGGCTCAAAGCTATTGAATTGCATATGAAAGGAGTAAAGCACCAGCAGTACGTTGCTGCAGCTAGTCATAGCTGGTCCTGGTTAATCCCTGCATTGTTTGCAGCTCGACCTAACAATGTTAGAAGACTAGAGCCAAAGATCTTTGCCCGAACCCAATGTTGCATTTTGGACTTAATTTCTATCATTTTAGACGGGTCGGGCCAGGCTTGGGCTTGCGCAGTCATAAACAGTCATGTGATGCACTTCGATTAGCGCGAGAAGTAATCAAATCATTTATTATAACATTAAAATCCATCCCTGCAAAGGTGAAATAAATGATGACGGAGAACTCAAAAATATAACAAATATAATATAACAATAAACAACAATTAAACAGTGTTTAATTATTGAATTCAAAGTTTCTAATGCCTGCAGCGTATGTTACAAAACGGTTTGCAAAGACAATTTGATTTATTAAATAACTCATCTCTTATGCTTTTTTTCACATTATGTGACAAAAGAATGAATGACTCAAATGAACAAAGTGATTCATTCATTCGCCCATGCGCACGTTGTGTAGTGCCGGAGAAGATCAGTTCATTTTTCGAGTCCTCTATTGGGTCTGAGTCGTTCGTTCACCACGTGAGAGACTAAAGCCTTGCCAATAGGTGCGTTCAACATGAAGCACAGCTGCTTCCTTGTCCTCATTTGTAAGTTGCTTTGGATAAAAGCGTCTGCTAAATGTAAATGTAAATGTAAATGCTGCCTGTGATCAACACTATTAACCGAGCGCAGGTGGGGCGGAGTTGAAAACGGAGCCGTCAAGCCAGACAGCTGAACACTTTGGTGCTCACAGTTGCTGCAGTCATGATGACCAATCACATGGCGTCATCATAATTTTTTTTATTTTATTTTTTATAACAAAAAAAGATTTACAAATAAACTGAATACAGTTTCTACAAACTATAGTTCATTTTTAAACAATAAGGGAATTATGAATTAAATATATTACAAATGTATAAGAGAAATAAGGGGGAACGAGAGGGTAATCTAAACATAAAAATGAAAAGCCTGTTAAATACAACGCAATAAGCACAAATTCTAGGAGTTTAAACATTCCTCTTTAGGCAAATACTTGTTGTTTGAATATGCTAAAAAGGGTGTTACATTTATTTACATTTATAGATATAAAACTTTCCAATATATAGGAGTAAAACACAAAACAAGGTGTTTCAATTAAGTCTGAAACAATGATTAAGATTATTTTGGATAATGAAAGCATTTTCAAAAAAGCACTTTAATCTGAAAAGATTGTTACAAAAGGACATTCCTAAAATAAATAAATATATATATATATATTATATATATTAATATATATATTAATCCTAAAAATCCTTTTATAATTATTTAATAAAATAATTCTTTAACTTAATTAACTTAACTTAAAACCTTTAGGGATTTCAGGATCAATGATCATAATTATTTTATTACAAATTTGTTAGACTTATTTGAGTTAATATTTAGGTTATTTACTAAAATATATCATTTAAATCGTTCATGGAGCTGAATGCAGTAGATAGTCTTTATAAAAAAAGGTGAAAATAAACCTATGCAAACACGCTAGCCTTTATAACCAGTTTATTTAACTAAACATGATACTGCAGTTAAATATTTGTAGTCTTTTAATAAACATAATATATACAAGATTGAGGGTATGAAAAGTGAATTGTTTGTTCTGAAACTTTTAAAACGGAAGTTATCCAATAATAAACCCGAAACACACGTGACTGTTGTCATGAGGTGAACTCGGCCAATAGTGTAATATCTGTGTTGTCATCAGAGCTTGTGCAGCCGCTCTTCAGATGCTGCACGGTCTGAATCAGCCATCTGATATTGGAGCACTGTCCCGGTACTATGATGCTACTTGTGACAGTCACATGGCATCGGCGCAGCATCAATCCAGACAAAATTTTTAGCCAGCATGCACTGCTTTAAGACAGATTCCTATCGATCTGCACAGCGATGCATTAAGTCGAACGCACCTAATCATATGCATTTAGAGCCGGAAATAAAATTGATCTGTTCACCTCTTGAGTCCTTGGGTTTGAGTCATTCGTTCATCACGGGCCAATCATATACATTTAGAGCCGGAAAGAGAATTGATCTGTTCATCTCTCCAGTCTTCGGTCTGAGTCGTTTATCACGTGAAAGACAAAAGCCCAATCGTTTGCATTTAGAGCCGGAAAGAGATTTGATCCGTTCAACTCTTGAGTCCTCAGGTTTGAGTCATTCTGTCACGTGATAAACTAATCACTCAAGAACCAGAAGACTCTATAGTTGAACTAATCATGGCTCCTATTGGCTCAGACTGTGTACATTGGTTAAGATTATATGTGACTGTCAGTGTAACATGAACGAACCACTGACATTTGAAGACATAAAGAGGTGAGCTGAGCAAAGAGACTAAAATACCTTTATAGACAAAAGAGCAGGTAAACATTGAAATAATATTTTCTCCTTCTTATAGTATTCTATTTGTGACTTATTTGTCGTGTGATCAACATTTTGGGCTAGTTGTAGATGTGTTTAGAAGCAATTCGTAACATTTTCAAAATATTTTGGCAAATTGAACCAAATGAACAAAATGACTTGAAAACAGTTTCGTTCATCTCGATGAACCAGACTCAAAGATCAGAGTCAGTAAAATGATCCGAACTTCCCATCACTAATCAGTAGTGCATCCCGGCCAGTAGCAACAGCAGTGAAAGAGTGTTCAGTGCTGCTTAGTGAGTGTAGGACTGCACTAAAGCCATTAACAGTGGATTCAATAATGTTTCCCCACAAAACTCCATAGCCTAATCTTGATGAGTAAAGAATTTTCATTGGTGTGTTGGCCAATTTAAAGGCTAAGTGTATGTACACAGGCCTATTTAGAGTGCTGAGATGTCAAGATGTTACAGAGGACTTATTTTGTTTCTTTGTTCAAACTTCCAAGTGGCCTATAGTCTATATCAGTGGTCACCAAACTTGTTCCTGGAGGGCCGATGTCCTGCAGATTTTAGCTCTAACCCTAATCAAACACCTGAAAAAGCTAATCAAGGTCTTTGTAGGTATACTTGAAACATCCAGGCAGGTGTGTTAAGGCAAGTTGGAGCTAAACCCTGCAGGGACACCGGCCCTCCAGGACCGAGATTGGTGACCCCTGGTCTATGTTATGAATAAGTAATGTTAACACATATAAACGACTTATTCATGAAAAAAGGCAAAAGAGCTGCGTGCATGTGCACATTTGAATAATGTCGGGCTATAAATGGGTTCGGGCTTTTTAAAAGCTGTCAATCAATATGTACCTAACTTTTATGGCCCGATTACAGCTCTAGTTTAGACGCCACCTTACAGTCAGCTATACCCAAAAGGCAGGTACTGTGGGTTATCTGTACTGTGACGAGGCACAATTCATTTTAATCTAACGAGGACATTAATTTGAGTAGCCTATTCCAAAGAAATTATACAATTTTTGGGTCTTAAGTTTTACTTGTTGAGGTCTAAAAAAAAAACACTCATGCTGATGCCAAATGTCGGCAAAAACCTTGGGCTGTGAACAAATATTTTTTGTTCTTTGTGTGTTGAGTTCATTTTCACTGTCTTTCTCACATGCAAGAGAGTTACAATGTGGAGAAGCCCCAAAGAAGTGTGCCACCTAGACTGCTGCTTGCCTAAAGTAAAGCATTGGGGTGGATAAGTGATGGTTTGGGCTGCAATATCATGGCATTCCCTAGGCCAAATACTTGGGTGCATCACTTCCAAGGACTATTCCAAACCATTCTGGTCCATGTGCACACAGTGGTTCAAAGTTTGAATGCTAAAGTTGGTGCTTTGTATCTGGAAGAAAATGCACCAATACACACGGCAAGTCTGGTAACAGTAATTTGATGAACATGAAAGTAAAGTTGAACATCTCTCATGGCCTGCACAGTCATCAGATCTAAAAAATATTGAGCGACATTGGGGTGTTTTGGAGAAGCGAAACAGAAACGTTTTCCTCCACCAGCATCACATTGTGACCTGGCTACTATTCTGCAAGAAAAATGGCTCGGAATCCTTCTGACTACTGTGCAGGACTTGTATCTGTCATTTCAAAGAGGAATTAATACTGTATTGACTGCAAGAGGAGGCCCTACACCATACTAATGAATTATTCAATATGTCTAAAACAAGGTGTTTCAGTTTCATCATTCTAACCCGTGTATTTAAAAAATCAAATTGAACTTTTTTTCAAACAATGATTCTCAAAGTTATTTTCATTAACCTGCAGATGGCAGTATTCAATCACTAAAATATGATCAAATATCAAGAAAGCATTTATATTGAATTTAGGTCAAAATTCCAGTCATTACAAAAACAAACAATAGATATATGTTAAAAATGTAAAACATAATATATCGTGATAGAAAATAATAAAACAAAATGTATATGTTATTTTGTAATTGCTATAAAAGTTTGGAACCTGAGTGTGATGTTTTTTTTCTGGGCCAATTAGGCTTAAGTACTGACCACTCTGTACTAGTTATTATTCTTCATTCATTTAAATTAATTAATTAGTAAAGCTGCTTTTATGACTTGAGCATATTAATCAGCAAAGTAGTTTTTGTCGCTGTTTATGGTGGTTGGGAATTCTCAGAGTGTAATATGGAACATTAAATCAATACATGAGAACACACTGATATTTACATTGTTATCGTGTTGAAACACTGATTCAGGAATTTTATAAAATGTGATACACTTTAGCATGTTTTAGTATACCTTATAATGTCCGTTCGTCCGTCCGTTCATCTATCCATCCATCCATCCATCCATCCATCCATCCATCCATCCAACCATCGACGCACCCAAAGCCTGTTTTTTTTCAAACCCCTTCCCAAAATAATGCACCCTTGCATCTTTATTGTTAAGCACAGAAAAAAATCATACATGCTGTGGTGCTTTAATCATTACGTGATATTTTGGGGCAGGATTTTCATCAATATTATCAAAACTGTCTGAAGAAAAAGTTCCATTCCACTTTTTGAATGGATGTCAGAGCAGAGACATCTAAAAAAGTTTTATGAGGAAATAGGGTGCTAATCTTTAGCATTTAGCATTAAACATTTTTGAAGCAAGCTTTATTTGGAATTTAAAACAAAATAAATGCCTAACACAAACACACATTCAGACAAGTTGTAGAGAAAAGTAAAGAAATAAAAAGAGAGAGTGTAATAAAAAGGAAAAACCTCTGATTTTGTAAGACTACAACATAACAAACTTGCGTTCTTTTCATGACGTGAAGAACTCCACGCCACGTGGAGTGAAAATCCACGCCACGTGGATTAGCTGGAAGTTTGTTCTTTGTCCTGTGAGGCTTAGAGTGGGGCAGAGTCTGTCATTTCAGGTTTGAGGTGGCAAAAAGGCTGCAGTCGTGATGCCTTCTGGTCTTACGGCACACCTAAGTGAAATAGACTCTCGAAGGAAATAAACGTATCAAAGATAGCAATTTTTGGTCCAAGTCTTCTCACTGGACCTGAATAGAAGATGCGCTGAGCTGGAACAGAACAATTCTTTTTCCAAGGGTCTCTCCTTTTCCTCTTTCGGGGGGTCCTTAGTCACCAGCTTTTATAAGGGTGGTCTTGTAACACCCTTAGGAGCTGAGTTGAGAAAGTTACCTTACCAAGGAAAGTTTTATTATTGGGAAGCTTGATGATTTGCGTATGATTTCTGAAATAATGCGGATGCAGAAACGTTTAAAGTTTCTCAAAATTTGTATGTGTTGGACTTGTATTAACATAAAATGTAAACGATTGTTCAGTAAACCAAATTCATCAAACATGAACCATCTATGAATTTGTTTAGCTGTGGTAGAGGTACACTTTGATTGCAGGAGTATTAAAACCATAATAATAATAATACATGAGCAAGAGACTTGTTGCACATGACACCTGATTACACATAAAGAGGTAATAAAGGGCTACATGAAAAAAAAACTTTGAAATTTAAAATGTATTTTATTTACAGGGACAATGCTTATTAATAAACAGTATAATTGTAAATAAGACAGAGTTAGCCACAAGGGCTAATTTTCATCTGTTGCCCCCTGCCAGATTTTAAAAGCTGAGGTCTCAGGCAAGTTGTATAGGAGAGTGACCATGTCGCTGTCCATTTTCAAACAGCGCATTGCTTTCGTGTCGTAAATACTTTTGGAATTGGATAAAACACTGATCATTTGCTTTTTTTGGGAGTGGTTGATGGTGAATTATTTATTGAATAAATTAAAATGATTATGTATTATGTATCTGATCAGCCACATCCGTTACAATTGTTGTGCGATATTCTTTTCTCAGGGCCATCGTCTCCTGCACGTGCTGGCACTCCTCTGTCTGCTGGCAGCCCCATCCCACCTCTACCACCAAGACCATCATCACGACCTAAATTACCTCCTGGAAAACCAAACCTAGCAGATCCGGTAAGACCGAAGCTTTGTTATTGGTGTGGCAAAGGGGTTGGTGTAGAATATGTGGTTATATCATTTATGAGGAATTTAAATTTTATACTGATTATAAGATCCTGCCTGGAATTTACATTAATGCATTTGTTTAAGATATTTTACTGATAAACAGTGCAATCTGAGTACAATGTGTGTGAGCTGTCTGACATTTGCTCAATACATATCCAAATCATACAAATAAGCCTAAATTACTTTAGAATATTGCCTACATTTAGAATATTGCTATAACATTCCACACTTGTCCATTGCCACCTTTATTACCCACTTTCAGATTTAAATAATGCATCAGTATGAAGTTAGCTAAAGATGTTTATCATACAAATTTTGCAAAAAGGCAAAAAATTTTGCTAAAAAAATATGTACTGTTGTCATTAATTGTACTAGGAAGCAAAAACCATGGTGCTCTGGCTTAAAAATAGTCCTAGCTTTAATTAAAATAAATATGACCCTCTTGCGATATACATTTGCGGTGTTCAAATCGTATCTTTAAATTGACAGATGCCACTCTTTCGATTATGCTGATGCAATAGTGTACTAAAGATATTAAAAGCATTTTATTTTGATTATTGCTCTGTATCATCTTTCTACTAAATCTAAAGATCTTGCACTACAACAACTCTCATAAAATCCATAACTCTCTTTCAAAATCTAAATGCAATTTCCATATTCTGGCTTCCATTTGTATGTGGAGAATAAATATATCAGCAAATAAATATATAAACAAATTCTCATTAATTAGTAGATGTGCAGAAAATGAAATGTTTTGAATGTTACCTTGTTATTACTGAATAACCTCTTTCTAAACTTCTTTCTAAACTTTTTTTTGCTTGCTTGACTAAAGAAAGAAAACTACTTGATTTTGAATTCATAATCCAATTTAAAACTACATGACTCGTCAATGACTTGTAATAAAGATATACAACTATATATATATATATATATATAGTTGAAGTCAAAATTACTCGCCTCCTTTTGAATTTTTTTAAATATTTTACAAATTATGTTTTACAGAGCTAGGAAATTTTCACAGTATGTGTCACAGAGACAAACTCTATGATTCCCTCCTCTAACCAGCAGAGGGCACCATCACCTCATTATTAACTGAAAGTTCCCTCACTACATTTCCCATCTACCCCGTGTCTGTTTGATTACGGGCCCAGCTGAAATCACTCCGCCATGTATTTAAGCAGACTGGTTTGTTTCATTCGTTGCGAAGTCTTGTTTGCTACCAGTTGACATTTCTGAGCGTTTATACTCTACTTTGATTTTCCTGTTGTGACCTTGCCTGTTTACCGTCTACGATCCCTTGCTGCCAGCCCTGACCATTTGCCTGTTTATGACCACGATTCTGTTATTCTGCCGATTGTGTGATTACTGTGATAATAATAAACTGAACGATGGATCCCAATCTCGGTGACGATTCATTACAGAAGACTTCGCCACCCTACGATCCAGCAGCTATCACTCACTTGTCCTCAGCACTATCTACACAGGCAAGTCAACTCGCCGTACACCATCATCAGTTGAAACACCTGACGTCACTCACCGAGGAGATGGGGAAGGCGCTCCAGAACCTGCATATCTCGCCACCGGCGGCCACCATGGCATCGACAACCGGTCCCGGTATACCCGTCATGGGAACGCCAGCTCAAGTGAGTCCTTGCCTCGCCTTTCCGGAAAAGTTTGATGGTGACCCGACGAAGTGTAAAGGATTTTTACTTCAGTGCTCTCTCTTTGTCAACCAACAACCCACGTTTTATGCAACGGACTCCGGTAAGATTGCTTTCGTTTTCTCCCTGCTAACTGGCAAGGCATTAGAATTGGCTATGGCAATGTGGAAGGAGGATGGTACCGCTTTTCCTTCATTTAAGGATTTCTCAGAGCATTCAGATTGATAACCTTGTTAGAGCCCGACAACGTCATGTTCCTCACAGTTCTTATTGTATGTCCGTCCCTGTTACCACTGATGAATCCGAACCCATGCAAGTTAACTCCTATCATATCTCTTCTGAAGAACGAAATCGTCACTTAACACAACGACTCTGTCTATACTGTGGTCAACCAAACCATCTTCGAGTTTACTGTCCTTCACGTCCAAATTCAACTTCCCAGGATCGGGTGAGTTTTCCTGTGCATTCATTGAATCCTGATATGTGTGTCAGTATACCAATTACCATTGAGATAAATGGACACGAGATAACAACAAAAGCATTGTTAGATTCAGGAGCAGCAGGAAACTTCATGTCTAAAAAATGTGCTTACAGACATAAAATACCTTTAACTTGCTATTCTTCTCTTTTGACAGTGGAAGCGATAGATGTACGCCCACTAGGATCGGGACAAATATTACATCTCACGCAAGAACTCAATATGCAAACAGGTATACTACACACAGAAACTATTCAATTTTACATCCTTGTAACACCTCGCACTCCCATAATCCTCGGACTACCCTGGCTGCGAAGACATAACCCAGACATCAACTGGAGGATGGGACAAATTGTTAAATGGAAGGATACCTGTTTTTCGGAATGCATCACCCCCATCTCACCTCTGTCTGTTAGATCTGTCACCGTCTCTGAAGTCAATTGTGACATTAACATCCCACCTGAATATTCTGATCTGTCTCTGGCCTTTAGCAAAACTGAAGCCACCAAACTTCCTCCTCACAGGAGCTATGATTGTGCCATTGATCTGTTACCCGGGACAACGCCCCCTAGAGGACGAATCTTTCCCCTGTCCAAACCTGAAACAGAGGCCATGGAAAAATATATCAATGAGGAATTAAAGAAAGGCTTTATACGACCTTCAACATCACCTGCCTCTGCTGGGTTTTTCTTTGTGAAGAAAAAAGATGTTGGACTTCGTCCCTGCATTGATTACCGGGGCCTCAATGAGATAACTGTCAAGTTCCGGTACTCACTACCCCTGGTGCCTGCTGCCTTAGAACAACTTAGAACCGCTAAATATTACACTAAACTTGATCTACGGAGTGCATACAACCTGATACGCATTCGCCAGGGAGATGAATGGAAATCTGGTTTCTCCACAAGCACAGGGCATTATGAATACCTGGTCATGCCTTTCGGCCTGGTAAACAGTCCATCCGTGTTCCAGTCATTTGTTAATGACATCTTTAGAGATCTCCTAAATCGCATAGTCATAGTGTATATCGATGACATTCTGGTATACTCTGATACCCTAGAAGAACACATCCATCATGTACGAACGGTGCTCAAACGGTCCATCAAACATCCACCTCATTTCTGGGCTACATCATTAGTCATGAAGGTGTGGCCATGGACAAACGGAAGGTGAACTCAATTCTCAAATGGCCACAGCCTTCGACCCTGAAAGAACTTCAACGCTTTTCTTGGTTTCGCCAATTATTACAGACGCTTTATTCTGAACTTTAGCTCTGTTGCACAACCCCTAACATCAATGCTAAAGAAAGGAGCCCACAGTCTACAATGGTCACTTCCTGCTACCCAGGCATTCCAACAACTAAAACAACGGTTCGTCACAGCTCCTATTCTCCACCATCCCGACCCAGAACTCCCCTTCATTGTTGAGGTAGATGCTTCAAATACTGGCGTTGGTGCAATACTGTCTCAGAGACAGGGGTCACCCCCCAAATTATATCCTTGTGCCTTCTGTTCCAGGAAACTAAACCCAGCCGAGAGGAATTATGTTGTTGGTGATAGGGAACTTCTGGCCATGAAATCAGCCTTTGAAGAATGGCGTCACTGGTTGGAGGGGTCTACCCATCCATTCACCGTTCTGACAGATCATAAGAATCTAGAATATCTGAGAACTGCCAAGAGACTCAACCCGAGGCAAGCACGCTGGTCCCTGTTCTTTACCCGCTTCAAGTTTGTGGTCACCTATCGTCCTGGATCAAAGAATACTAAAGCAGATGCCCTGTCTCGACAATTTGAAGGTGATCAAATCCCACAAGCTCCTGAGAACATTCTGTCTCCCAGTCTCATTGTTGCACCCATCCAATGGGACATAATTACCGAAATTGAACAAGCTAACGCTCAGTAAGAGACCCCAGCTGAATGTCCAACCAATAAGATGTTTGTCCCTGAAACCTTACGGACTCGAGTTTTAGAACTAGTACACTCACTGCCCAACTCCGGACATCCTGGCATTAACGCTACAGTCCAGCTACTGGAAAATCGTTTCTGGTGGCCATCGTTGTCTAAGGACACCACCACATTTATTCAACACTGCATCACCTGCAATACGCAGAAATCATCACGACAACTACCAGCCGGTTTACTCCAACCTCTCCCCATACCACAACGCCCCTGGTCACACATTGCCATTGATTTCGTCACGGATCTACCCATGTCCAACAATTGTACTACCATACTCACAGTCATCGACAGATTTTCTAAAGCTTGCCGTCTCATACCTTTACCCAAGCTCCCAACTGCTCTGCAAACTGCAGAACATTTGTGCAACTTAGTATTTTGATTTTATGGTTTACCTGAGGATATTGTCTCAGATAGAGGGCCTCAGTTTACATCTAGAGTCTGGTCAGCGTTCTTCAAAATGCTAAACGTCAACGTCAGTCTAACTTCTGGTTATCACCCCCAAGCCAACGGCCAAACTGAACGGCTTAATCAAGAAATTACCCGTTTCCTTCGTTCCTACTGCAGCCAACATCAGAATGACTGGAGCCGTTACCTAATGTGGGCTGAGTACGCCCAAAATTCCATTCAAAAATCCTCGACTGGTCTCACCCCATTTCAATGCATTCTGGGATTCCAACCCCCGCTGTTCCCCTGGTCTGGAGAACCCTCTAATGTTCCAGCAGTAGATGATTGGCTACTCAGAAGTGAGGAAACTTGGAACCTAGCTCATACTCGTCTACAGCGTGCCATTCGCAGACAGAAAAACCAAGCTGATCGCCATCGTCGTCCTAACCCCGAATACATTCCTGGTCAGTG